TATGTTAATCACACTGTCACTCAGACAGTCAAGAATCAAAGATAATTAACAACCTTATATTAATCACTGTCACACAGACGTCAACAATCAATTATAGTACTTCATAAATTTTAATAATTAACACTAATTATTGCTTATCTCACAGACGAAACAATAACAAGGTGTCACTTGACCGGACAAAAACACAATGAGATAATCACACAAATATATACAGTAATATTAAACATGCTGCACAGACAACTGCTAATCACACAACTTACCTATATGTCACTACGACCATTGTAGAAATCAACATTTCCCAACACTTCCTGTAACAGATGGTAACAATTCCTATCTCAAATGTTTTTAATAATAATGTTAACATACATACGTCGTCAGTCACTCACTAACGACGCAACACTCATAAGGTTAATACCTTTCACTCCTCTCTGAGCTGACAACTTAACACATCCATGATCTCATTGGATCCAAACACAGAGAAAGCTTGTTGTGAGATATACTCTGATTGATCCGAAACTGGGTGATTACTGATCACCAAAACTTAATGTACACTGTAACAATTAAATAACCTGCGTTATGTACTTACATTTAACCACTTCATTCACACAGGTCGTTTGGCGTTGCTGAGTGGTGGTTTGCTGTGGGAGGTGTGGAGCACCGGCTAGTCGGGGCTCTGCCTGGCGGTATGGAGGTGACTGGTGGTAGCCGTATTCGACGGGTGGATACAGTACGGCTGGATTTTTCTGCTGCTGTGGATTGGCCCATTGTGGAGATTGCTCTCCTGGACGTGCTCCGTGTCGACGTCTCCGATCTCCTGGGACTCGAGAAGCTATCGCCTACCCTTGTTGCGGTGTCGTTTGCCACTTCGCATGTTTATCAGGAGTTTGTGGCTCCCTGGGATGCTTGCTCGCTTTCTCCTCCGGCTTCGGCTGTGTCTGTGGAGATCTCGGATCCTTGGTGGCCCTTGTCGTTTGTGAGTGTTTACGGCGTGCCGGTGACCTTCCCCGAAGCAGAACTCGTGTCATTGTTTACGCGGTTTGGTGCAGTGGTGAAGCACCGGTTCAACATTTTGAGTGCGGACCGGCTGAAGGTGGTCTGGCTGCGTACATGCACGCTCGTCATGCAAATCACGAGCCGTATTCCATCCAGTATTTTGTTTCGTGGGCTCTCTATGCGGATATTTTATGAAGGTCACACCCGCATGTGTTTCCGGTGTGGTGCTGAGGGCTACGTTGCGACGCTCCTCGTGCTGAGGCCCCTTCCGTGTTCCTGGAGGATGATTTTCCCCGCTTGTCTGTGCGTGGGGATTCCCTGGTGGAGCCTCGCTCTGTGCAGGTGCCTGGTGTGGTTCCTGCGGCGGTTCCAGCTGTCGCTCCGTCTGGCCCTTACTTGTCACCCCGACCGGTGAGCGCTGAGGACATAGGGGCACCTGCTTCGGACCTTCGCCGTTCGGTGGATGCGGAGGTGCATCCACTTCCGGTTGCTTCCGTGGTGGCAGTGGATGGTGCTGTAGAAATGGTGCCTGTGTCTTCTACGTAAGGACATGTGCTTTCCGGGGCTGTCAGGGCGGTGGTATTTGTGTCTCCGCCCGCGCCCTCTGCCTCGTCGCCTCCGGTAGTTTCCTCGTTCACCTGTGCCTCGTCCCCTCTGCCAGCTCCATCGACTTCGCCGGATACATCCTGTGTGCTGGAGTCTGCCCTTCCTCCTGCTGTGTCTCTTCTTTCTCCAAATCCGATCTTCTTGGGTGGTGGTGGCTTTTTGCCTCGCATCATCGAGGCTGCTGTTCTGCGTGATCGTGCTACCCCGGCTTTGGGGCCGCCTGCCATTGGTTCTTCTGGGGCACCCCTTGCAGGGGGTGACAGTTCCGACGATCAGCGGCCTATTTCTAAGCGCCGTTGTTCGGCTCGGGATGCGTCGCCTTGCCGGACGTGGGCAGAGAAGCGTGATGCTATGGATGATGATGCTGAGGGCGACGTTGTGCTGCCTCCTGTGGTGCCTTCTGTGTTGGACGCTGTGCCCCCTGCTGGTGGCTCCTCTCAGTGGGTGGTTGCCCCTGGTGACCGCGACCTCGTAGTGGTGTTGTCGAAGAATGTGCAATAAGGGGACTCTGCTCCTGTTCCGGTTGGCGGAGGCCCTGGGACGCCTGGCGGAGCCACCCTCCATGGGGCACGGTGCGGTGCACGGCGTAGAATGAAATGCGCGCCCTAGCGGGCGGCCCGATGTGCGGCCCACTGTGCAGCCTGGTGTGTTTCCAAGTGTGCGGCCCTGTGACCGGCTTCCTAAGGAAAACCCTTCCCTTTCATCCTCCCGTCTGGTGAGGTGGTCGATAGATCTACAACTCTGACTTTTGAGTATGATGACCTAGTGCGTCCTGTTCCCTGGTGCCCTTCTGCCATCTGGGGTTCCGCGGGTGCAGTGTTCTGTCCTTGGCGTGCCGGATTTGATGCCTCGGCCTACTGCGACTCCCGGATGTCCGCTAGCTGAGATCGACTTAGCTGTTAGGGATGCTTACTGCTTACGATTTCCGGCTCGGGAGTACCCTGAGAAGTATGAGTGATCCGTGTAGTTGGTTTCTGTCTGTGTGGTGCGTGTTGATTCCTCAGTGCCTGCATGCACAGGTGGGTGTCCTTGTCTGTGCGTGTGTGTGTTTGTTTCTGGCTCCTGCGTGGCCTGTTTTGATGTATTCGAGATTTGTTTTGTGTTTTGCCTTTGTTCTGTGTGTGTGTTTGTTGTGTGGTTGTGTGCGGTTGTGGGTGTTTGATGTTCTTTCTTTCCTGTCTTTGCGTGCGCCCCATGTGTTGGGGTGGCGGGAGTGTTAGAGAGGGGTGGTGTGTTTATGTATGTTGCTGTTCCGTGTGTTTGTCGCATGGGGTCTGTGTGTGTGATTATTTCTTTGTCCTTGTACTTGCTATATTCTTTGTACGTATTATATGTTATTTATGTTCATATGTGTAGTTTTTGGATTCACTGTTCATTTATTGCTGGTGTCCTCGTTTGTGTCCGGTTCTGCTGCTCTGTGTGCTGGATCAGACTGCCCGAGCTTGTGTTCTGTTTTTCTCCCCTTCTCTGTTCTAGGGGTAGTTGGCTTTCTGTACATTTGTTGTACCTTTGTGTATTTTTTCTTGTGCATTTTTGTTATTGTACTTATGTCACTTATTTGTTGTGTACTGTATGCATTCTATGTCCCATGCTGTTTTGGGTTTCTTTGCTTATGTCCTGTGTGCTTTCCTGTTTCCTCTTGTATATATTTTATGCCTGTTTTATGGTGTTTGCTTTGTTTCATGTATAAGCACGATTGTTTGTATTTATATGTTGTTTTGCACTTGTTCCCTGTTTTTGTACTTTGGTATTTTAAATATCAATAACAAAAAAACTTCATTCACACACTGCTGGTGATGATTCAGGCTGCAGATAAGACTGCGGATTTAAGCAAGGGAGCCCAGCACTGTATCCACAACAATACTGAAATAAAGCTCGAACCTCAGCTTTCCAGATGACAAGGTCAATCCAGGAGATAACTCTGTTTGCACCACACAAGTTGGTCAATCACCTTGACATGACCTTCAATAGCTCAGTGGAAATTACCACCCTCTCACACAGTCTTTTAGAATTCTGATACAAGAAAAGAAGTGGCCCACTTACACTTCACACTTCTCCACTTCTCAATTCCCGTCCAGCATGGCTGTAAATGCATGCACGCACACACACACACCCTGGGGTGAGGGATACCACCTCTGCTCATCTCGACCCCGATATAGCGAACCACCACTGGTTCACTATCATCAAGGCTTTTCACACTTCTTCTTGGGATATTTCACAACTGATTATCACTAAAGAAGCTTCACTGTTGAACTGACAATCACTACCACTGAGACTTCACATGATTAACAGAGGTAAGACCCAAACTCAAGATATGCGACGAGAATACATTATTTCCTTTTTCCCGGTTACTCCAGATTTCACCTCTATCTCGGTTTCCTGTGAAACCACACGTGCAGGTATTTCACACTGCTTGTATTTTACATACGAACACCCGTGGTCTCGGCTTGTCTTTGAACCGTTGCTGGTGTAGATAAATCTTGTATCCTTCTGGTGTAGGTAAATCCTTTGACACCTGCACTAACCCAGTGTTTCTGGTTTGAAATAGTACTGGTGTTTAGGTAAACTGCTACTCTAGGACTCAGGACAAAGAGACCTGCCTCGGAGCTCGTAAGGCAGCCTCCTTCCCTTTGAGTAGTCCTTGACCGAATGCTTACCCTGGGGGCCTCGTGTCCCTTCCAACATTCTGTGATGTTGACCAATTGACCAACCTGTTGACCAATCACAGCACCTAAGCCTTCCCATGCTTTCCTGCGAATTCATTTGATTAGTAGCGGCATATGGGCACCTCGTGACATCATATCTAGTTCCACAGCCTCTCGCTAGAGTGCCATACTGTCTCGGAGGGGGACGGGGGGGATCTTGTGGTCACCTCCCAACTGTTCAAGATAGGGGAAGTCACACCAAAGAGAAAGGATGAGAGACACTAGACAGATCACACCAGGGTGAGAGGTCTCACCAAAAAGAGCACACCAGAGAGGTCACACCTGAGAGAAGTCACTCCAGTGAGAGGGAACACACCAGAGAGAGAGAGAAGTGACACCAGTGAGGTTACACCAGAGACAGGTCACATAAGAGAAAGAAAAAGATCTCACCACAGATATTACACCAGAGAGAACACATCAAAGAAAACCATTCCAAAGAAAAGTCACTCGAGAAAGAGAGAGTTCTCACCAGAGAGAGGTGTCCCAGTATAGAGCTCACACCAAAATTAATAGTCACACCAGAAAAAGGTTACACCAGACAAGATATTATAAGCAGTTATAGGTATAAGCAGTTACACCAGACAAGTTACACTACAGAAAGGTCATACCACAGAAAGGTCATACGATAATGAGAGGTCACACCAGAAATATAGAGCAGTCAAACTAGAGAGCGCTCACAAGAAAGAAAGCACTCACTGTTGTAGATAATAGCCTTGAGGGTGACAGAGAACTCTTGCAGACTAATCACCAGCCTTTGCTCCCCCTGCTGCTGCGTCTCTGTTAAATACCACCATTACTTTAGCTCCCACACCAGTTACTTTGAACTCAATCACTTATTTACCAGCTCATTCAGCCGTGCCAACAACAGATCTCAAGTAGACATAATGGTATATATAATGACCAATACATCAGGAGCAGTACCCTTAATTATAAAAAGTAGTCACCATATGAAATTATTTGTGTATTGTTATAGTACATATGATAAAACTGGCAGCAATTATGATATAGTAAGCTCCTTGTAATAAAAAGTAATAGAGAAGAAATTATGGTACAAAATGCTCTAATTATAATTATATAACGTACCAGAGCAAAATGTATAAAAATACTGTAGTACTTACAATGTCCTGTAATATAAAACTAAAGCAAACAAAAACAATAAAATAGTTAATATTCAAAAATTTTCCACTCACTCACTATTATAATGCATAATACCTGATGTGTGACTCAATGTGTTATTGTCTAGCACAGTGTTCATTGCTCAGCCATGCTGCGATGCCTTCCTATATTACCACCATGGAGCGTTGGTAACAGGAAAGGGGATTACAGAAGGATAAGGGAATATCTGGGCAATGTGCAGTGGAAGGAAGAATTAAAGAGGAAAAAAAAAGTCAAAGATATGATGGACCTAGTCATATGGAAATACAAGGAGGCCGAAGAGTATTTTTACTGTTATCTTGAGGTTATCCTGAGATGATTTCGGGGCTTTAGTGTCCCCGCGGCCCGGTCCTCGACCAAGCCTCCACCCCCAGGAAGCAGCCCGTGACAGCTGACTAACTCCCAGGTACTTATTTACTGCTAGGTAACAGGGGCATCAGGGTGAAAGAAACTCTGCCCATTGTTTCTCTCCGGCGCCCGGGATCGAACCCGGAAAAACAGGATCACGTGTCCAGTGTTCTGTCCGCTCAGCCGCCGAGCTACACCAACAGTAAAGGAAAAAAGCAGGAGGGAATATAATAACCGATAGCTTAATGTACAGTGTCAGGTACAAAAATGAGAAGCAGGAATGAATGGAGGAAGTACACAGGCCAAGAGGAATAGATGCAACAGAGCTAGGAACGATTACAGTAACATAATGAGAGTATTAGAAAGAAATTATGAGAATGATATTGCGGTCAAAGCGATAAAGCAACCTAAATTATTATATAGTTATATAAGAAGAAAAATGTTGATGAACGACCAAGTGACAAGACTATGGAAAACAGAAGGGGCATATATGGAAAATGACAAGAAGATCTGTGAGGTACTGAATGCCAGTTTCCATGTTGTGTTCACAACCGAACCTGAGCAGCTCCATTGTTAGAAGAGGAGATGACAATAGTTGAGAAACTATCAGATATAGAAGTGGCAGCAGAGGAGGTAATGAAACAGCTGACAACACTATATGAAACTAAAGCAGTTGGACCAGGCAACATATCACCGTGGATATTAAAAGAGGCAGCGCAGGTCCTTAGCGTGCCACTGGTAAGGACCTTTAATGAGTCACTTTGAAGTGAGAGTTGCCCAGTTGCTGGAAGAAGGCAAATGTGGTACAAATTTTCAAGAAAGGAGATAGGGAAGAGGCACTTAACTACAGACTTGTATTAACTTCACTGAACCTCTAAAAGGCAAAAAGTCTAAATGAGAACAGGAACGAATAAGAAATCAATTTTTTCTACAATGTGATAAGGATATGCAAGCCAGGGAAATGGTTCTAAAAGGCAAATCAACAAAATCTAGACGTCAAAATCAACTAGAGACAGGAGAAGTGAAGAATAAGAAGAAAGGGAACATTTTCCTGAAAATTGTGGACACCAACATAGATGGAGTGAGATCAAAGATGCTGGAGTTAAGTGATGTAATACAGCTGTAGATGCCAGACATTGTTGCACTCACGGAGATGAAACTTGAAGATGATATTTTAATATGAGGTCATATTCCCAAGGGGATATTCAGTTTGGAAACAGGATAGAAAAATTAGGAATGGCAATGGCGTTGCTGTGCTGGTGAAAGAACACCTAAAGGTAAATAAAATAATAATTGCCAATCCACGAAAAGTTGACATAATAGCACTGGAGATCTGCAATCAGGATGAAAAACTAATAATCATAAATGCATTTAATCCACTGCCAAGTTACACATGGACAAAGGAGGAGCTGGATTATAAAAAAGAGGGTCTTATAACAATAATTAAAGAGATTATAGCGAGAGCGAATAAAGATAGATCACAACTGTTGGTAGTCAGCGACTTCAACTTGAAATCCATAGACTGGGAGACATGTGAAGCTAGAACAGAGGACTTTTGGACCTGTAGATTCGTAAACCTCATCCTGGAAACATTCATGTATCAACACGTTAACCAAGCTACAAGAGTGAGGGAAGGGGATGTTCCCTCTTTGCTGGATTTGATATTTACCATAAAGAGGAAAAGATATTTGACATTCGGTATTTTCCTCCCTTAGGTAAAAGTGGCCATGTCTTTTTGGGAATAAAGTATGTAATGCATTATAATCTGGAAGAAAATGAGGAGGTTGAAGCAGTTGAAAAACCTCAATTCAGGAGAGGACATTACGAGGAACTTAGAAATTCCTTTAACCACTGCACTGCGCAACGCGTCTTGAGGCTCTTGACAGGTGGTGCGCAATGTGCATCAGGGATCTCATAGGAATAGCGTATGATTCAAAACTCCCGCAGCTACATGAGGCTCACATCATCTTCCTCAAGACACTTGTAAACAGACGCCATTTAAAAAAAATTTTAGGCAACATTTCCGGGTGTGAGAGCCTTAGTACAGAGTGAGCAACCTAGGCCGGCGCACGCAGCATGGGCTCACAGCACCACTTTTCAGCTTGTGACCAAAGCATTGTCTAATAATGTCAAAAAATATATGTAACTGGTATTATTTAGCCATGATAGTATTATAGAAGAGCCTCTGTGTGATAAAGACTATGTACAATGTTCAAATATCAGTGAATCAATGCGCTTCAAGATGTTCACAACGCTAGCCACAGCACCACAGCATTATTTCATTCATCTAGGAATCTTCCAACGACTTCTCATGTTCCTTTACAAAATAAACCTGCGGAAAATTATTCATTTACAGGATTTAGTGACCAGGATTCGGATAATAGCAGGATTCTGGTGATAATTAGTGCTGTGCATAGTATTTTGGGAGAAGGAATTTTGGTGAGGAGGGAGGGAATCGAGGTAGTGTCACTTTTTGTGGCAGCCACTCTTGTTTCGACTTACCATACAAATTCAGTGGTTCGCTATGGAACACAAATATAGATACAGTGCATCTTCACTCTAACTAACCTCACAAATATAGATACAGTGCATCTTCACTCTAACTAACCTCACTCTAGTAAACTCCCAGAAGATCCGAACAAATGGAATTCGGTACTAAATGTTAATTGGAACATACACTAAGTGGTACTAAGTGGAACTTAATGTTCGATTAAGCGAGGATTGTTCCTCCAAGCGGTCACTGAGACCGAGTGTCGGAGGTGGCTGTCATCAACTATGATTTGCCAAAGTGTAAACAGTTATAGTGTGTTTTATTATGCTTACCCATTGTTTCTTGGGAGAAATGGTTGAAGGCTGATAAAATTGTGTCAGGGGTCATGGGTGAGAGTTGTTGTCAGGAAGCAAGTGGTGGAAGTTGTTTTCAGGGGAGGCCAGTGGGGCTAGTGGTGGAAGTTGTTGTTAGGGAAGGCAAGTGGTGGAAGTTGTTGTTAGGGGAGGCAAGTGGTGGAAGTTGTTGTTAGGGGAGGCAAGTGGTGGAAGTTGTTCTCAGGGGAGACAAGTGGTGTAATTACCTAAGTATAGTTACAGGATGAGAGCTACGCTTGTGGTGACCCGTCTTCCCAGCACTCTTTGTCATATAAGCTTTGAAATTACTGACAGTTTTGACCTCCGCCACCTTCTCACCTAACTTGTTCGAACTGTCTACCTCTCTATTTACAAAAGTGAATTTTCTTATAATTCTCCGGCAGCCTACTTTCGGTAGTTTCAATCTATAACCTCTTGTTCTTCATGTTCCGGATTTCAGGAATTCTTCCCTATAAATTTTATTGATTCCTGTTACTATTTTGTACGTAGTGATCATATCGCCTCTTTTTCGTCTATCATCTAGTTTTTGCATATTTAATGCCTTTAATCTCTCCTTGTAGCTCTTGTCCTTCAGTTCTGGGAGCCACTTAGTGGCATGTCATTACACCTTTTCCAGTTTGTTGAAGTGCTTCTTAAGATATGGGCACCATACAAATGTCGCATATTCCAGCCTTGGTATAACAAAAGTCGTGAACAATTTCTTTAGTATTTCTCCATCCATGTATTTAAAAGCAATTCTGAAGTTAGAAAGTGTAGCACAGGCTCCTTGTACAATGTTCTTAATGTGGTCCTCAGGTGACAGTTTTCTATCTTGAACCACCCCTAGATCTCTTTCTTTGTCAGAATTCTTTAAAGATTTTTCACATAATTTATAGGTTTTGTGGGGTCTATGTTCTCCAATTCCACATTCCATAACATGGCATTCATTCACATTAAATTCCATTTGCCATGTGGTGATCCATATACTTATTTTGCCCAGGTCGTCTTGAAGGGTATGACAATCATCTAAATTTCTTATCTTCCCTATTATCTTAGCATCATCAGCAAACATGTTTATATAATTCTGCATTCCAACTGGTTGATCACTTAAGTAGACAATGAACATTACCGGTGCTAGAACTGAACCCTGTGGTATTCCACTTGTGACATTCCTCCAATCCGATACATTGCCTCTGATTTCGGCCCTCATTTTTCTATCAGGAAAATTTTCATCCATGTTAGAAGCTTACCTGTCACCCTTCCAATATGTTCTAGTTTCCAGAACATCCTCTATTTGGAACCTAATGTGGAACTCTGTCAAAAGCCTTTTTTTAGAACAAGAGAGATACAGTCAACCCAACAATCCTGTAAAATCTCTGTGGCTCAGTCATAGAAACTGAGTCAATTCGTTACACAGGGTCTTTCAGATCGAAAACCATACTGTCTGTCTGATACTGTATCGTTTTTCTCCAGGTGTTCTACCAATTTATTTTTAATTATTTTTTCCAATATTTTGACTATTACTCTTGTCAATGATACGGGTCTATAATTGAGGAGGGGGTCTTCGCTTCTGCCACTTTTGTAGATTAGAACTATGTTAACTTTTTTCCACACATCAGCTACAACTCCTGTACACAGGGATGCCTGAAAAATCAATTGAAGTGGAATGCTGAGCTCAGGTGCACATTCTCTCATAACCCATGGTGAAACTCCATCTGGACCAACGGCTTTGTTCTTGCTTAGCTCCTTGAGCATTTTTTCCACTTCGTCGCTAGACACCTCTATGTGCTCTATGTTGTTCTCTGGAATTCTTATTGTGTCTGGTTCCCTGAAGATTTCATATTGTACAAACACACTTTGAAACTTTTTGCTTAGTATTTCACACATTTCCTTTTCATTTTCCATGAATCTGTTTCCCATTTTCAACCTCTGAATGTTATCCTTTACCTGCAATTTGTTGTTTATCAATTTATAGAATAGGCCAGATTCTGAGTTACATTTGTCCACAATCCCTTTTTTCAAAATTTCTTTCGGCCCCTCTCCTCACTGCCGTGTAGTTGTTTCTCACATATTTGTATCGCTGGTATGTTTGGGGGTTTAGCCTCTTTCTATATTGATTCCATCTTTGTGTCAAAAATGGCTTTTCCCAACATTCCTTTTGCTGTTATTACACCATATATATACACGTTATATATAAGTATCTACATTTGTGTTCACCATAACGAACCATCAAGTTGGTGTGCTAAGTCAAAAATCAGCAAGGAGTGGCTAACAGACCAGCCAGCCAGCCACTGGCTGCCACTCCCTCCCTCACCTCACCTGACTCGCCCACATTCCCCTCCCACCATACTGTTTTTGCTTTTTTTTTACTATATACAAACGTTATATATAAGTATCTGCACGTTTTGTTCACCATGGCGAACCACTAAGCTTGTATAGTAAGTGCAGACAGCAACAGGTGGCCACACAGATTCGGCAGACGAGGCTACAGCCCTCACACCCTTAACATTACTCCTCCCACAGCACAGTGCAAATTATCACCACAATGCTGTTATTATCAGAATCATGGTCATTTATAAAACAATCAGGGGATCATCTGTAATACCATCATCGCTAAATAATACCAGTTATATATATTTTTTACATTTTTAAACGATGCTGTGGTCACTAGCTGAACAGCAGTGCTGTGAGCTCATGTTACATGCACCAACCTTAGTGGCTCACTCAGTACTGAGGACCCTCACACCCGAGAATGTTGTTCACGATTAAAAAAAAATGGAGTCTGATTACAAGAGCCCTTAGGAAGGTGATGTGAACCCTGTGTATCCGAGGGCCGTTTAAACCTTGCATACTAGGCGATGAGTCACAATAACGTGGCTGAAGTATGGTGACCAGACCACACACTAGAAGTTGAAGGGACGACGACGTTTCGGTCCGTCCTGGACCATTCTCAAGTCGATGAGAATGACCATCGACTTGAGAATGGTACAGGACGGACCGAAACGTCGTCGTCCCTTCAACTTCTTGTGTGTGGTCTGGTCAACCTTGCATAGTACTCCAAAACTTCACATGCAGTGATGCGCACTTTTGCGTCAGTTACTCAAAATTTCATATGAAGTGTTGCGCAGTTCAAGGGTTAAGGCAATGACCTACTTCAGCGTGCTTTGGGTGAGTCGTTTCAACAAAAGTTTGCATTTCTTCCCACAATCTACACCACTTCCTATTTGTTGAGGAAGGGACATTCTGTACTGCCTCCTCCTCCCCAGAAGACATTTCCTCAGCTACCTGTTGTTGTTGTTCATTGTGAAGGGCTAGGAGATCTTCGGTGGTCAGTTCTTCACTGTGTTCCTCCACTAACTCACAACACACAACACTCACAACTCTAACAACACTATGAATGCCACTTCTTTTTCTAAATTTCTCGAAACATCCCCTGCTCGCCTTAAACTCTTTCGTATCTGTATCACTTGTTCAAGGGGCTTTCTTTAAAAGGTCATCCTGCATTTGCCTTGGTTTCTCACAAATGATGGCCCCTGAAACACTATCACCTCCTAACTCCTTGTCGTGTGTCCAAAGTAATAACAACTTTTCAACATCTTCAAGTGTTTGTGTTCTTTGTTTCATGATTGTTGAAACGCCTTTTGCCACTTTAGCACTCATAATGTCTTTTTTCTTAGCAATTACAGTGCATATCTTTGACAGATTTGTTGTACTGCCTGGCTAGTTCAACAACCTGTGTATCATTTTCATGTTTATGAATGATCTCTTGTTTTTCCTCTATAGTCACCCTCACATGTGTTCTCTTGGATTGAACCTTACCACTGACTTTCTTGGAACCCATGGCGAGATATATATAATAATAACTTTTATGTTCAAAAACCCAAAAATCTGAAAAATACTGAAACTCTTTTGAAAGAATTCAATCGCGATTGCCCCAAGGCGCGAGGCACTGATAAACTAAGGGCCGGTCGCTTTGTCACCACACGCTAGGTCGATCATACGCATATCAACAAACTTCGTTTCCCGAGGCAATGTTTGTAACCCGATTCGGATTTTACGAAGAAATCGGGCTCGTAACCCGAAAAGTTCATTAGAGAGGGGCATTCATAACCGAAGTGTTACTGTAAAAATTATTATTATATATCATTATATTATTACATTATATCTTTACATTATTTCCTAATGTAGTTGCTAATTTACTTGGAAGTGCAACTTTTGAGTCAGCATATGATTGCATTTCGAGTGTTTTGTGCAAACACATACGCTGACTGGTCACCTGCCTGGGTGACCAGGCAGCTAGAGATCATTTATATGAGTCAAGAGTACCAGGTGTTATCCCGAGAGTTCACATGCTGTAGTTAAGACTCAAATTAAATATAATAAGATGCCGCAATTCAAGAAAAAACAAATCGTCTGTGTAGCAAATCGGCCACATGGATCAGCCAGCAGTGAGGGAACGCGGGTGGTGCATTAATTTTAAACAGAGCGTAATGTGATGGAGCAATTTTTCTATAGCCACTGTTGTCTTGATAAACAAATCTAATGCGAATATTGCCAATAAATCCAAGTTGTCTTACCCCTGATGTGGGCGAGCAGTGTTAAGGTGTGTGAGGGTGTTGCGAGGCGGTGGGCATGGGCATGAATCAAATCCTTCCAGGTGGCACCAATCTCATCATACACATCCCTCATGGTGCCCATCATGAAGGCACGCACCTCGGGGAACACCTCCTCCACCCTCATCCTGCCTCTGATTAATGAAACACACATATTTAGTAATATTTCTTGCAACTTCATTTGGCCACCAATCAATGAACAACTAAATGTTTGACCATTACAAGTTTGTCTACCAGATATTTGACCACCTGCTACTGGGACACGTTCATTGTGCAATTTGGCCGTTGAATATTTAATCACATGTATTTCACAATTGACTATTGGTGCAATAGGAACTTGGCTGCCAGTTATCTGATCCTTCACAATAGGCACAATGCCAATGTTACATTGTATATATATATATATATATATATATATATATATATATATATATATATATATATATATATATATATATATATATATATATATATATTGTGACGGTGTTCCCCCCCTTATAATTCTCCCACGCCTGCAGTAAGAGTCATGTCTACTTTTCCCAAGCGTTCTCTACGTTGCAGGCTACAATTTGATACATGGGAGAGAGTGAAGTGTTCTCGGAGAGCCGAGAAATTTGTGAAATAGTGATATTTTGGCCTGTGGTATAGGCCCTTTAGGGAGCCAAGATGGCGCTTACCTCCCTGATCTCCCGCCAAAACCGTGTGACGTCAGTGGCACCGGATTGGTCACCGGCAGCAGTGTGGCACCGGGAGCCAATGAAAACCTCCCATAGTAAAAGTGACGTCACGAAGGAAGGGGGTCCGGCCAGCGCGCCGGGCTGGCGCCAGCAGTCAGACACGACACGTCATAGAGGTCGGGCGTGCGACGAGTGGTCCTGTCAGTCGGACAGTTATTCCAGCTCCCGTGGATTTACGCGTCACCGGAATTCCGCCAGTACTCTGAGAAGTCTTCCCTAGTTCATGTGTTGAACCAGAAGAGGGAATTGACGGTTATTTGAGCAACAAGTGCTCCAGTCAGGTACTGTGCCAGTAGCAGTGAAGCCGTGCAGTGACGTATGTGGCGTCTATGGCAATTCACCAGTTCGTGACAGCGTAGTGGCAGACAGAGCCACTGGGTAGCTGAGGAAGAGAGGACTATTTGGGGAAACCGAACGACTGTAGCTGAGACGTAGGCGACAGCCGTTGCTGGGAGAAGACGACGGCCAGGAGACCGACTCCAACCTTCAAGAAGTCAAGAAGGAGGACGGACCTGCAGTGAGGAGGCACGGAGACGACGCGCTAAACGGTGGGACGACGAGAGGCTCTGGTAGGACACGACGACGTGTAGTGTGGGGGCGTTCCCGACACGAGGACCAGGAGCTACATCTCGACTCTCATCGGAGGATAGGGTGAAGTAGGTGGTTCTAGTTCCCTCCCCATTCCCCTTTAGTTAGCTATATTATTTGGCTATATTATCTAGCCTGAAGATTTTATATGTCGTGAGCAAGTCTCACCTATGTCACGGTAAAGCACCAGTGTGCTAGACAGTACTATCAAGAGTACTTGTAATATTCATGTTGATTATTGGTGTGTACAGGCACCAGGAACCAGTGATAAATTTACTGTGTTGTGTATATCTTTCTATAGATTTTTATATGAACATATAGTGGTAAATTATATATAATATTATGCCAGTATTTGGAGGTTAGGCTATGTGCCCAGAAACTATTTATTTTCCATGTATTGATGATTGATTTGTATACCATATATATGCCTATGTTCATTCAGTGAATAATCATTTGTGAGTACAGTGAATTATTGCGTTATCGCCCACGAGAGAAAGTATTGAAAACTCCAGTGTTAATAGTTCTTAATATATTGCTGAGTGAAGAACGATGTAAAGCCATTACAGTGAATCATTATAGCATTGATTGTAGAAAAGACTGTTTGAGCCTGAGGAAAGTGTAACTAAGTAATTCGGTTTATTTGTGCCAATATCGAGTGTGCGAGTTTCTAGTAATATTGGAGAGTTTAAAGAAACCGCGTGCGTGAATCTAGCAAACAAGCAAATTTCGCACGGAGAGTCCATTGCGATCAGCTGTTCTTGACACTTGATGAGGAGGGGGAGGTGTTGCCACCTAATGATCGCGGACTATTCGTGGGAACTTCCGGCCGCGTCAGGATTTGCTGATTTATTTGTTGTTGTTTGGCTTTGTGACATCTTTCATACATTTTAAGTAAAATACAAAACTCTCTTTGTGTTTTTATCATCCCCTCCATTGATCTTGTGGCTATACTATACCTGTAAGCATAGAGTGATAACAATAAGTACCTGCCTGATTCCTGATCTTTGAGTGTGACCTTGCCAAGGCTACCACTGAATACACCAGTCCACTGATGGTGTTACTGGCCACCTAAAAACACCAGTTGGCGATCTTGTGGATAACCGTAGAGCCCTATTGTTGGGGAGGGCACACGACAGTCGATATGCATGAGTCGTGTTCTCACTCTTTCTTAATTAGAGGCCGTTAAGATTGACTGGGAGACTCTCCTGGCGTGCTGTGGCGCCGTGAGGATCGAGGGAAGACCCGCAGGGCTACGGTGAGTTACCTTGAGCATAACTATTGCTCACCCCAGAGTAAGGGTAGAAAATAATAGAGAGGTGAAACCCCAACATTGGCGACCTTGCCAGGATACCGATCGAAGTAAAGGTTGCAGTGGTACTTGGCAGTGGTGTTAGAGATCAGGTGAAGGTTATCACTCGTAGCACAAGATGGAGGATGATAAAGTAGCGAGGTTTATTGACTCTAGAGACGAACAGGTGCTGGAAGAGTGCACCAAGGCACAGTTACAGGCTATAGCGGATCATTTTGGAATAAAGCTGAAATCTGCCCGAGTTGGTGAAAGAAGACTAGAGATAATGGCTCAGCTAAAGGCTCGAGACGAAGCTTTGGGGGAGGAACGGCCCCAAACACCTGCCAGTGAGGGTGAGCACCTGAGTATTGGTGGAAGCAGCAGGGGATCCAGCGGCAGCAGGCACAGCATTAAGCTGGAAATAATGAAGCTGCAGCTGGAAGCACAGCAGCGCAAGGAAGAGCGAGAAGCACAGCAGCGCAAGGAAGAGCGAGAAGCACTGCAGCGCAAGGAAGAGCGAGAAGCACAGCAGCGCAAAGAAGAGCGAGAAGCACAGCAGCGCAAGGAAGAGCGAGAAGCAGAAGCGCAGCTGAGGAGAGAAGAGGCACAGCAGCGCAAAGAAGAGCGAGAAGCAGAAGCGCAGCAGCGCAAAGAGGAGCGAGAAGCAGAAGCACAGATGAAGCGTGAGGAGCGAGAAGCACAGCTACGCAGGGAAGAACACGAGCGAGAAGTTAGGCTGAGACAAAGGGAAATAGAAGCCAACCAGGAGGTGGAGCTGAAGCGAGCTGAACTGGGACTAGGGGCCCCTGCCCCGCCACAGGAAGACCGACGAGTGAGGGAACGAGACCTGCCGGTCTTTGTGCCTAGTGAAGCCGAAAGTTTCTTCGATCACTTTGAGAGAGTTGCTGCTATGAAGAGGTGGCCGAGGGCGGAGTGGGCAGAGTTGGTCCAAGGGAGGCTCACAGGTGAAGCTCGTGAAGCCTTCACTATGCTCGACTTCCAAGAATGCACGAACTACGATGCGGTAAAACGAGCTGTGCTCCGTTCCTTTAAACTCACGCCAGAGTGTTACCGGAAGAGGTTTAGAGAATGTACCCGGTTGCCAGGAAAATCGTATGCGGAGACGGCGAGGGACATGGAAAGAAAGTTCCTTAAGTGGATGGACTCTGAAGAAGCGGGGTCGGCCGAAGAAATCAAGGAACTAATGGTCATGGAAAAGTTTATGTCCGTGCTCTCTCCTGAGATCAGGATGAGGATAAAGGAGGCGGACATAAAGAACCTGAGGGCCGCAGCCGACCGGGCCGACATGTTAGAAGAAGCCCTACGCCCACGCCGAGAGGGACAGAACCGACCACCCGCATACGTCGGAAACGATCGGAGTTATAGAAGGACGGATGGATGGAGGACAGGAGCGAGTTCTCCCAAATCCCACCTCTCAAGTTGGAACACCCGAGGATCAAAAGGTACTGTAGAACCAATCAAGAAGAACCAAGCGGAGAGCTCGGGAGCTGTCGTTGCGACCAAGGAGTCAACAAGCGGTGCGGGAAAGACGCAGGGTGCGACGGCCTCAGGAGGCAGTGCTAAGGCGAGCGGTGGCGGATGGTCTCCGCCGAGGGGCCGCTGCTACAATTGCGGAATACCCGGACACGTCGCACGGGAATGCAGACGCCCTAAGCAGCGGGGACACATTGCTTTAGTGATGTTCGAGGACCAGAGGGCCGAGAGAGTGCGGGATGAACCCGTGCTGAGTGGGGAGAAGAAAGTTCACCCATTCGTGTGTCAAGGAACCGTAAGGATGGGGGACGCAGACCCCATCCCCGTGAAGATCTTAAGAGACACCGGGGCTGACTTTACCCTGGTAAGTGAAACCCTGTTCCCCGAAGGTTACGAAAGTACCAGTGTGGGGGTGGCAAGTGTGACCACTGTGGGAGGCCCAGTGAGGATGCCCCTACACCAGGTGACTTTAAATTCCGACTATGGCTGCCAGGCCCTAGTGGTGGGAGTCTGTACATCAATGCCCAAGATGGAGGCGCAGGTCATCTTGGGGAATGACGCGTGTGGAGGATATGTCCTTCCGAATCTTGTGAAAGGCGAAGAATGCCTAGAACAATACAAGGAGACGGGCGGAGAGTGGAACGCCTGTGGGGGCGAGAAGGGAATCGCACCGGTGGCGTTCCCAGTTTGTGCGGTGATACCAAGACGACGCGAAGAACAAGGAGGTTGTGGATCTGATGGGGCTGAGGAGACAACTGACAGCCCGGGAATAGATCGCCTCTTCGTAGAACCCGGAGAACAAGCGGAGGGCGGAGACAGCCCAAGTGGTGAGTTGCAGGTGACCCTCACCAGTTCTCTAGGGGTAGACCGCGCTCGTCTTGAACAGTTGCAGCAGGAGGAGTTCCCCGATTTGATTAGTGAGGCCCAAGGAGGACGTGTTGGTCCTGAGAAGGCTACTCATTTGTACCTTCAAGACGGCATGCTGATGAGGCAGTGGAGACCTGTGAGGGTGGAGGCCGGGGAAGAG